CTGCATATAATGCTATCACGACTGCATATAATGTTGTGACCACTGCATATAATGTTGTAATCACTGCATATAATGTTCCAACAACTGCATATAATGCTATCACGACTGCATATAATGATGTGACCACTGCATATAATGTTGTAATCACTGCATATAATGTTCCAACAACTGCATATAATGCTATCACGACTGCATATAATGTTGTGACCACTGCATATAATGTTGTAATCACTGCATATAATGTTCCAACAACTGCATATAATGTTGTGACCACTGCATATAATGTTGTGACCACTGCAAATAATGTTCCAACAACTGCATATAATGCTATCACGACTGCAAATAATGTTGTGATCACTGCATATAATGTTCCAACAACTGCATATAATGCTATCACGACTGCAAATAATGTTGTGACCACTGCATATAATGTTCCAACAACTGAATATAATGCTATCACGACTGCAAATAATGTTGTGACCACTGCATATAATGTTCCAACAACTGGATAGAATGCTATCACGACTGCAAATAATGTTGTGACCACTGCATATAATGTTCCAACAACTGAATATAATGCTTTCACGACTGCAAATAATGTTGTGACCACTGCATATAATGTTCCAACAACTGAATATAATGCTATCACGACTGCAAATAATGTTGTGACCACTGCATATAATGTTTTAACCACTGCATAATAATGTTGTGACCACTGCATATAATGTTGTGACCACTGCATATAATGTTGTGACCACTGCATATAATGTTGTGACCACTGCATATAATGTTCCAACAACTGAATATAATGCTATCACGACTGCATATAATGTTGTGACCACTGCATATAATATTTTAATCACTGCATATAATGTTCCAACAACTGAATATAATGCTATCACGACTGCATATAATGTTGTGACCACTGCATATAATGTTGTAATCACTGCATATAATGTTCCAACAACTGCATATAATGCTATCACGACTGCATATAATGTTGTGACCACTGCATATAATGTTGTAATCACTGCATATAATGTTCCAACAACTGCATATAATGCTATCACGACTGCATATAATGTTGTGACCACTGCATATAATGTTGTAATCACTGCATATAATGTTCCAACAACTGCATATAATGTTGTGACCACTGCATATAATGTTGTGACCACTGCAAATAATGTTCCAACAACTGCATATAATGCTATCACGACTGCAAATAATGTTGTGACCACTGCATATAATGTTCCAACAACTGCATATAATGCTATCACGACTGCAAATAATGTTGTGACCACTGCATATAATGTTCCAACAACTGAATATAATGCTATCACGACTGCAAATAATGTTGTGACCACTGCATATAATGTTCCAACAACTGGATATAATGCTATCACGACTGCAAATAATGTTGTGACCACTGCATATAATGTTCCAACAACTGAATATAATGCTATCACGACTGCAAATAATGTTGTGACCACTGCATATAATGTTCCAACAACTGAATATAATGCTATCACGACTGCAAATAATGTTGTGACCACTGCATATAATGTTTTAACCACTGCATAATAATGTTGTGACCACTGCATATAATGTTGTGACCACTGCATATAATGTTGTGACCACTGCATATAATGTTGTGACCACTGCATATAATGTTGTGACCACTGCATATAATGTTCCAACAACTGAATATAATGCTATCACGACTGCATATAATGTTGTGACCACTGAATATAATATTGTAATCACTGCATATAATGTTCCAACAACTGAATATAATGCTATCACGACTGCATATAATGTTGTGACCACTGCATATAATGTTGTAATCACTGCATATAATGTTCCAACAACTGCATATAATGCTATCACGACTGCATATAATGTTGTGACCACTGCATATAATGTTGTGACCACTGCATATAATGTTCCAACAACTGCATATAATGATATCACGACTGCATATAATGTTGTGACCACTGCATATAATGTTGTAATCACTGCATATAATGTTTTAACTACTGCATATAATGTTGTGACCACTGCATATAATGTTGTGACCACTGCATATAATGTTCCAACAACTGCATATAATGCTATCACGACTGCATATAATGTTGTGACCACTGCATATAATGTTGTAATCACTGCATATAATGTTCCAACAACTGAATATAATGCTATCACGACTGCATATAATGTTGGGACCACTGCATATAATGTTGTAATCACTGCATATAATGTTCCAACAACTGCATATAATGCTATCACGACTGCATATAATGTTGTGACCACTGCATATAATGTTGTAATCACTGCATATAATGTTCCAACAACTGCATATAATGTTGTGACCACTGCATATAATGTTGTGACCACTGCATATAATGTTCCAACAACTGCATATAATGCTATCACGACTGCAAATAATGTTGTGACCACTGCATATAATGTTCCAACAACTGCAGATAATGCTATCACGACTGCAAATAATGTTGTGACCACTGCATATAATGTTCCAACAACTGAATATAATGCTATTACGACTGCAAATAATGTTGTGACCACTGCATATAATGTTTTAACCACTGCATAATAATGTTGTGACCACTGCATATAATGTTGTGACCACTGCATATAATGTTGTGACCACTGTATATAATGTTGTGACCACTGCATATAATGTTGTGACCACTGCATATAATGTTCCAACAACTGAATATAATGCTATCACGACTGCATATAATGTTGTGACCACTGCATATAATATTGTAATCACTGCATATAATGTTCCAACAACTGAATATAATGCTATCACGACTGCATATAATGTTGTGACCACTGCATATAATGTTGTGACCACTGCATATAATGTTCCAACAACTGCATATAATGCTATCACGACTGCATATAATGTTGTGACCACTGCATATAATGTTGTAATCACTGCATATTATGTTCCAACAACTGCATATAATGCTATCACGACTGCATATAATGTTGTGACCACTGCATATAATGTTGTAATCACTGCATATAATGTTCCAACAACTGCATATAATGCTATCACGACTGCATATAATGTTGTGACCACTGCATATAATGTTGTAATCACTGCATATAATGTTCCAACAACTGCATATAATGCTATCACGACTGCATATAATGTTGTGACCACTGCATATAATGTTGTAATCACTGCATATAATGTTTTAACTACTGCATATAATGTTGTGACCACTGCATATAATGTTGTGACCACTGCATATAATGTTGTGACCACTGCATATAATGTTGTGACCATTGCTTATAATGTTTTAACTACTGCATATAATGTTGTGACCACTGCATATAATGTTGTGACCACTGCATATAATGTTGTGAACACTGCATATAATGTTGTAACCACTGCATATAATGTTGTGACCACTGCATATAATGTTGTGACCACTGAATATAATGGTGTAACCACTGCATATAATGTTGTGAACACTGCATATAATGTTGTGACCACTGCATATAATGTTGTGACCACTGCATATAATGTTGTGACCACTGAATATAATGCTGTCACAGCTGCATATAATGCTGTGATCACTGCATATAATGATTATCATCAACATAAGGCAGTCATGGCGTTCCATAATCACCCAGAAAGAGAGTGATGTTTATGAGTGCATGTGTTGTTCTGGTGTCTGATGACTTTTGTACGATTATAATGTGTTCTATGACTATTGAAGTACATGTAATGATTTGTACTTGTTATACACATTGTTTATCTTTATCTGTAATTTCATCTTTTACTTCTTTACTAAAAAATAAACTTTTCTGTGTTTAAGTGAATCACCGGCCTTCTATTTATTAACAAGTAAGATGATGTGATGTGATGTGTTGTGATGAACTATCCTCATACATTTTTACGACTGTACTTCGCTCGCCAAAATATTTTATAGATTTCAGTCAAAATTCCTTCTGCCCAATAAAAGTCATGCATTGCTTATGTTTAAAAATCCTTTATGTTTTTGAATTAAATCTATGCTATAGAATCATGTTTGTTTACATGGTCTCTGCAATTTCTATTTCGTGAATTCCAATGCAGAAAACGAGTATTCGGGCAACTTATACACAATTTACATGAAGCGCTTATGTGCAGCGTGAACCTTAATATTAGTAAGTTTCTGTCAAAAGGGTTAAAAAAGATATATATGGACGAGATTTAAGAAATATTTTGTAAAAGTAATTCTTGTGGTAAAATGATTATGAAGTTACAGAAATCAATTCTAACATTTCGCGCAAATGGCTTTAATGCCATTGTACCTTAGTCTTTTCTGACGTCCTGGAAAATTATACAAACACTGTTACTAGTTTTATGCTAATCATTTTATGAACTACACTTAGTCTAGTAAGTGATCTTTCTGTAATAGTTTCGTCAATTTCTGAGACCAGGCAGTTTTTGACCCTTCGTTGCCCTACTCCTTTTAACTGCAACTTTATTGTATATTTATTTATTTATTTATTTAATATTTTTTTTGGGGGGGAGGGGGGGGGGGGGGGGGTACTTAAAGATGGATATTACTAAAGTAAGAGTGAAATTATTTTTTAAGTATTTAATCAAATAGAATGTTTTTCATATTTGTTGTATTATTCTTTCATCTAGGTTTGCATGCCAACTCTACGAAATGTTTTCCGGAATGACTAGCTGAGGCAACAGCTGTATTGAGCTTTCATTATTTGACTTTTTACGTCTTGAATGTAGCTTAACGATTTACATTAATACAAACAAATAGTTTAAGTTTACAAGTATTTTAAAAAAATGTAAATGATTTATCGGAGATTTGGTATTATCAATTATATCAGTCAATGTTTTTGTTTAATATTTAAACATATTTTTTTTTTTCAAATTACAAGTAATTTTAGATGCACTGCATATAACAAAACAAAAAAACTTGTTATTTAACAATGTCTTTTTTCTTTTCATGCAGAGATGGCAAGTGGAAGCCAAAAACTTGCAGAGAGACGCGCTATGGGTTCTCAGGAAGGTGAATAAACTATTAAGAAATATTTATTAATTTGGCACTATTTAGGTTACCTCAAGATTAACTAAGTTTATGGCATTGATTTTTGAACGAATAAGATTTTATAAATGTCCATGTTCGATGATTTTTCAACAATAAAGTTCCATAACTCTGCAATGTCATATCAAATATTCATAAAGAAAACAAATCAAAAGGGAGCTTATTTCAATAGATTTTAACAGACCACCAAAATTTCATGAAAAACTGCTTTAAGCACTATTTATATTCTGGTTAAACTATATAAATTTTGACCAATTTGAAAAGTGCATTTTGCCACTTTAATTATATAAAGGGTTGGTGAATTGGAAGAATGGATAGGAGATATATACGCCCATTCATTTAAAAGGATTTTTTTTGGGTTCGGACTAAAAAATATTTGTTTTAATGCTCCAAATTAATCAATTTTATAGAAGATTTTTTTTGAAAACTTTTAGTTTTTAATTTACAAGAAAGAAACAAGTAAATGGTTTTATTTTAATATGCCCCTAAAAAATTCTAAAATAATATATTAATTTATATTAATTTTTTATACATTTTCTTAAAAATCAGGGCAAAAGTTGTTATTTATTCAGAAAATTCATCAAAACTGGAGATTTATCCAGAGCAAACTCCTATTACTATATGCTCTCTTGAAGAAAATTGAAATCATTATTCATTGCAAAATGGCAGCCTTCAATACAATTTAACAATAACTAAGTTAAACTTAACTGAAATACTTTTTACGGAAATTTTATCACATTGCTGGAATTGATCGAAGTAAGCCGGCTTTCAATTTTCATGATTTTCACTTTTTTCATTCCAGAATTATGATCATGATTTAAAATTTATAAAAATTGATCATTATTTAACATACCGAGCACAAAAAATCATGACTTTGACTTATTCCTGTATGCTTGGATTGATTTCCTCAAAGTTTACACTGTTCATGCTGTTGAATTGAAATTGATAAAAAAGAAACCCTATTTAGTATTGGGATTTTACATTTTCTTGTTTGTTGTTCCAGAAATGAGGGATCAATTTAATGGAAAAGAAACAGATATATGGGGAACAGTTCAGTATACATAAGCCATGCGCGTTGATTCAAAAATAAAAGGAAAGGGAAAATAGCTTTTACTACTGTTTACAATATGAGACATTCCCTTTCTTTATACCCTTACTCCTGTACTTCTATCGGTCAGTCAGTATGTCCCTCGGCTGGGTCGCCCCGATATTCCGACACCCCACTAGTCTGACACTCCATTGGTCCGACACCCCATTAGTCCGACGCCCCATTGGTCCGACACCCTATTAGTCCGACACCCAAATAGTCCGACAAAGGTAAACTACTGTGGTAATAGAAAATCTTCATAGAATCATTAACGTGGTATCTACACTGTACACGAACGTATCGATCGAAAACTTTCAAAACTGAACGTTGTCGAATTGTTAATTGATTATATATTAATTGAAAATTAGTGAGTTTAAAAGTTTGTTTGTAAAATTGTTCAATCGATAAAGACTTTGTTGAGGTTGAAACTTCAATAAAACGGATTAAACTTGCTGTCAGAATGAACTTGTATTGAATAGCAATGAAACATTTGCCACTGGACGTTAAACAAAATACATATCGATCATGTACGAATACTCATGGAATGTAGATCAACGATTGATTTGTTATTGCATATTCATAAAACAACAAACCTTTTTCGCTGTACATTGTTATTTTCATTCGTGTTCCTTGCTGTCCCTTAAAACACAACTAATCGGTTGTCTTTTCTTTCCACTTTAGGAATAATCCATAATCGGTCGAAATGTTGATCGATTGAATAGCACAAGCAAACATGCTGTGTGAAAAAAAGTAAACTCTAGCAACCCACACCACTTCTCTGACATTGACACAGGAATGAAATGAGAGTTAGGACGCAAGAACGCCTGATGAGTACAAAATTTTAACAAAAACAAGACCTTACATGACTAACCCAATTATGTATCTTTTTTATTAAAAAAATATGTTTCGTGAAGGTTGGGAAACATGAACTCTTCCTTTCCCACTTATACTACCAGATTATTATGTCTCCATACTACGCTTTATCACAAGGTAAAAGCTAAAAACACTTTGACCTGCGTACAAGGAAAATTTTGTATTAGTTGTTGACAAAAAGATTGTTTCTGGGTGAGAGCTGTTTAGGTCCATTTATGTAGAAGAAATGTAGAAATCACTTCACATTCTATCCTTGATATTAATTTATATATGTTTTTAAAACTGTCCTGGTAATTTTTTTTTTTTTTATTTTTTCTTTCCAAATATTTCTACGAACAGTCATCCATATTATCGTTTACTTGATATATGTGTTTTTCTGACTTCGATCGAAACTGACTTAATATCTAACTAGTTTTTCTCCAAATAATGACAGATTTTGTTCGGATAGATATTTAGTTAAATAATCATTTTATTCGTAAACGTTTTTGCATACTGTACTATAAAGGAAAATATGGGAAATGTTAGTATCGGTGTATCTATACACCGATAAGAAAACGTGTGGCATGTCACAATAACTGATGAATAACCTAGTTTTACTTTGACATCAACGCCAAATTATTACAACATACATAAGATTGTCCGGTTTGTAATTTCTTGATTTATTCGCATTGTATATATCCAAATCAATTTTTTTTTAAATTTGCCTTTCAAAACAGTTAATCTTTGCTTCATATAATTTAGTTTTCCTCATAGAGGTTAGTCCGCTTGGACCGAAAGTTATTCATTGCATAGCAACATACGGATTTCATACAAAACTTCATAACCTTCTGATCTCCTTGTTTGTTAGATGTCTAGAAAATTATGAAATGTTTAATTTTGTTACCCAGTTTAATTGACCCCTACGCGACGCGTTGTAGGGGACACAGAAACACCGGACGTCCGTCTGTGCACCCGTGCATCCGTCAGTCCGTCCGTCTGTCCATCCGTCGTAGAAATATCGGACAATAACTCAAAAACGCTTTAACCAATTTGCATGAAACTTTGGTGAATTGTTTAAATCTATTGACGTCCCTTTCAATTTTTATAAATTTTAGATTTTACGTTTCCGAGTAATTTGGTTTTATTCATTAAAAAAGGGAGATTTTCCAGTTTTCGAACAATAACTCAAATGTGCTTTGAGCAGTTTTCATAAAACTTTGGTGACTGGTTTATATCTATCAAAATAATCTCTCTTTAGTTTTTATTATAAAATGTTGATATGACATTGAGGAGTTATGGAACTTTATTCTTTGGGACAGGCGTACTCATGCGCTCATGGCGCAGCTCTTTATTATATACTTAATTCGAAATCTGTATATATATATATATACGTAACTAAAATTTGTGTATATTATTCAATTAGGACCCTCGCCCACAAGGGACTATTTGCTATCCCTATTGTGCATGCAATTATTCGCGTGTATATTGTTGTCCTTCGACAACTCCCCCAGCTTCTCATGTTTCGTTTAAATCATTTGCATTTGCGTTTGCATTAGAACTAGAATCATTGAAAACGGAGTTAATCTTAAAATATTTTGCCCCGTCCTGCCCCCGCCCCAACTGCATTATAAAAGTGGCATGCTTTTTCCAGATTTTAAAATAAGCTCGGGATAAAAAAATCGGTACCCCTACATATTTATTGAGTGTCATCTCTATGTCTGATCAACCGTTATGGGAAGTGCTGCGTACTGTCTCCGAATTTGGTGGATTCATGTTCCCGAACATGACTTCATCAAACGCACGCTGGGTGTTTTGGTAGAAGCAGGAGTTGCTCATCTTTTCGGAGCACCTAGTTCGTCCTATTTGTCACTTTTTTTTTGGGCTCTGGGTTTGCGTTTGTCTCGAAATTTTCCTCATTTTTGACTATCGCTTCATTTGTCGCCATTTTCCGCGACAAAATTAAATAAAACTTAGTTGATTGGTACAAGGGGTTTAAAATGTTATGACCAACACGGGGCGGGTAGGGTTATCCAACTCTGATATATTCATTTATGTAGTTAATAGTGGTGAACTCTCACTCCCTTGATACGAAATGGGGAAAACCGAAGATCTATAGTAAAAAAAAAGGTAAATCAAGAGACAAAAACAAAACCGGGAACTAGAACCATACAGAATTACAATGGACACACAAACGCCGAAATATAAAGACAAATAAAATCCCCTGACCCGTAAAACAAAATGAGGGACAAGGATAAGGACTCAGCAGTAGCAATAAGCATATGTATCAACTCCAAGGCACTGAGACAAATATCCCGCATGAGAAGAATAATTGGAATATAAACGGACAACCACAAATATAATCGAGAACGGAGTTGATTTTTTGGAGAAAATTTACCCATACATTTATGACAGATGCATTGTCAAAACAATGGGCTGTCGGAATAATGGTTGTCAGACTAACGGGATGTCACCAAGCACTATTAGCATTTAACCAGAAACATTTGTCCATCCTGTACAATGAAGCCAGCATCACACACACAATTATGTAAGCAGTAAAGCTTCATTATAGCCTAACATTTCTTTTTCTTAGTTCTCTGCGTTGAGAGAAATACTAAGTTAAGTATCTAAATGTAAATAATTCGACAAAACTTGATTTATCAAAATGTTCACTATACATGCTATAGTTAAGAAATTGATACTCCTTTTTAGTTACGCAAAACATGAGGCCCGCGCCTCTATCAATCTATGTTTTGTTTAGGTGAACATATCCTACTATTTTCACTAATACATGTCTGCAAACCTACCTTGATAACTTGGATTACTTTTCTTGATTAGTCGATGGACAAGGCCTTCTTTTCTAAACACAGTTTGTTTTAGTATTAAATTAACACGTCATCATGCTTTCAAATATAAAAGAAATATAACTTTTGTTCAATTATTCAGTGTCGGACTATTAGGGCGTCGGACCAATGGGGCTTCGGACTATTGGGTTGTCGGATCAATTGGATGTCGGACTAATGGGGCGTCTGACTATTGGGGTGTCGGAATATCGGGCTGCCCCTCCCTTGGCCTACTTGCATTTTCTGATAAAATTGAAATCTTAGCTTACTGAAATTTGATATCAATCTTTATAAGCATGCTATAGCGTGTGCTGTTTTTTTCATCCATCTGTCATCAAATTCTTGTGAACAATATACTAATATATTATTACACATGATAGAAGGATAAATAAAATCACCTAATAGTTGTAAAAAATTAAGCTATCATGACTATTTTGCATTGTTATGATGCCACTTGAATATTGTACTTGTTATTTAAGGTGAATTTCTAAGGACTGCTATGGACATTAGTGAAGAAAAAATAGACAGTCAATATGAACAGTTGATACCTACAGTTTAAGATGTTTTACAAGACAGTACATATATTGAAGGTATAAATAACCACACAGCTAAATAAATATAGCATAGACACGATGAAACTTTCTGACGGTGATTTTTCCCTTGGGTGGGATTTCTTTATCCTTAATCCTTTATGAACTACTATTATACGCCAACTCTAAAGGAAAGGGGGTGGGGATATATTAGTTTACATCTGGCTTTTCACGTACTCAGTCTGCATTTTTCATTGGATTAAAAACTTACAGTTTTCTGAATTTTGGTATCTTGGTTCATGGGAGCATTACCTAAACGTGTTTTGCATTTTAAGATTCACCAATCATTAACTTTCTGGTAACCTAATACTTATATTATTACACATAATGGTCATGTATGACATGTTCATCACATTTTCCTCATGCACTACAAATAACGGTAACAAATTACATGAAAAAATGGAATCAAGCTTCACATATGTATTTCACAACCATTTGTCATCAAATTCCTGTTTGCCGTATACTTATAGTCATTTAGAAGCAATGGCGCATAGTTCCAACTTTTTGTAGTTTACTGGAAAAGATAAGATGTGATGTATCAGTCCATGACTATGATGACATAAAATCACTACACACACATGAAAACACAAAAGAATATGAGTGATTGTTGGTGGCTTAACGTCAAATGACAAATATTTCATGCATGTTCAGGACGAGACACGCAAAAGAAAAGGACCAGTGCTTAAGACATTTCATCTGTTTTACCAAAAAGCAAAACCCAAAATCAATCATCTGTTCAAAGGCTATTGTAAAATCCAGACGATAAGGCTTAGCTGTTGTATGTTTTTAATGTGGTTACTCGTGTAACTAACACAGTTTATTTCTCTAGACAGACAACATGACAGATAAAATCCAGGTTAGGTTTGAATTCAAGATAAATGATATTTGTTTTCCCTCAATTTTTTTCTCGCATGTCATATGACTACTGTCCTTGGCCCCATTTTCATAATTCAGAGGATGCTTATTTTTTTTTATAAGACGGCAAAACATTTGCAGTCGTATATATAACGCTATGATTTTATGTCAATGCTGTCATCGTTATTCAACATTTGGTCTGCAGACAATAATTTAGGTATAAATGAATGGATCTCTATGAAATTGCACCACAAGGTTTCATACCACAAAAGGAAGGTTGGGATTGATTTAGGGGATTATTCTCTTAAATGTTTATGAATTAGAGGCCTAAAAGGGTCCAAAACAAGCATTTTTCTTGTTTCAGGACAATAACTTGTGTATAAGTGTATGGATCTCTATGAAATTGTACCACAAGGTTCCATACCTAAAAAGGAAGGTTGGGATTAATTTTGGGGGTAATGGCCTTAACTGTCAAGGAATTCTTTGCCAAAATCAATACTTTTCTAAGACTTTGTATACTATAATGAAGGCTTTACATGTCTTACATAATGAACTAATACTTTCTTAACAGATTTTTCCCAGCAGTGGGATTAATTTTTCCTGTGAATACTCAAGGGTTCACAATGTTTCATCTTACAGATCATGTAATATAATTTTTACTGTTCGTAACCATAATTTTACTGCTCAGGGTGTAGAAATCAGTAGGGGTAATTGAAATAATAATACTTAATGAATTGATTTTTTTTTGAAAGAAAATAGAGGTATCTATACTACTAAAATAACGAGGTCCAATTTGTTAGCGGCCATGAAATTAAACTTTATATATTACTAATATAGGATAATTGTGTCGATAAAAAAATTACACCATTCCAGGCCCTTTTGTTTTTCACATAATTAATTACCAATAACTAGAATGTTCCGGGTCAAACCCGATACCGATGTCAATATTATATGTCACTTCTTCTCTTAGTAAGATTCCTCCGTTATCGGAGCACCCATGTCACACGGTAATAAAAGACCTTATTATAACATGTATAATACTACGTATTCAAAAAATTAAGAATTAAAATACTATAGCAAAAAGGTTTATATACATTTTTGAAAATACATGTAGTTTCCGGTTGTAGTAAGAAAACCAAGACGGGTTCAAACAGAAAGATTTTGAAAGCAGAGAAAACTGTGCTCTTATAATCAACATGACTGTTTCAGATGTCAATACGAATACTAAAAATCCAGGCTAGAAATATGGCGAAGGTACTTAAATTCAGTCACGGAACCGCAATACCGCGGATGTGTTCTAGTAATACTTAACAAGTGCTTTCCATGTAATAATATTAGATTCATTTGTATATTTCTTACCACAAGTATGAAATATTGATGCTTTAGTCAACAATGATTTAATTTGTATTTTTCAGAATAATATGTTTTGTGGAACAACACAAAATTTCAGAACGAATTTCCTAATTGTAAAATAATTGTTCTCTCAACATAAACATGATCATGATGATAAAAAACAAAACAATTTCTTTTATGATAAAATGAAAAATGATAAAAGCTACATTTTTTAGTATGTAATCTTATTTATCCTTTTTTTATAAAAGGTTTTCATAGGGGGTTGGGATGTCAAAATCAAAAACATCAAGTCATTCAACAGCTATTTGACATCCAAACTTTACTAGCACTGTAAACATGATAAATCAACTTGGTTACCTCATACTTGCTCTATGGCATTAGGTTAAAATAAAATAAGCTTCTTATTTGCAAGAAATTGACTGAAAACTTCTGTAATGCACATGTTGAAGATTAACTTTAATAAATATGGAGAATTATGAGTGCTACCATTGAATTTCTTGTTAAAAAGGGAGATAACTCAATTTTCAGATACAATCATATGAAGAAAAAAAAATAGTGTAACAATGATTACTCATATGTTGAATATCTACATATAAAATTTCATTGATTTCTGTAAAAATGACATGTAGAGCCATCGGCCTGCTCCATTCATAGAACGATTGTTTAAAATTACTTTCAAGGTTTATGAAAATCAAAAATATTTAGGTGATCTCTAATTTTAAGAAATTATCTTAGGACGTATCTTTGTCTTCAATGGGTTTATCAAACATGTCGTAATTTAGAAAAAGTCATACGAATCGTCATAACTTTAGGACACCTAAGTAGGTGTCTTAAGATGGTCTTGGGATGGTCCTTACTTTAGGATATATTTTATGATGGTTAGTTTGTAAACAAATACAATCGCCATCTATATATGGATTCCTCTTTTTCTAAATATTTTTCTTTTTTTAACTAATTAAATGTATTCTTGCTCCTATTCAAAAGATATTACAAAAACAGTAGAATATATCTGACACCCCTCTATTAATATTTTCCACGGAGATAATAATTACAGAGGGTTTTGTACATAAATAAAACACATAAAATAAATAGACATAGTCTTAGATGCATGATTTTTTTTATTAGTTGTTAGTGGCTTTGAACTAGCTGTCAGTAACTGCGAGTACTCTCAGATCTGTACTTAGTGTCTTTTTGTTGTTTAGATGTATAAGTACCCGGCCACGTCCACTTGTATTTGTAGTATTTGTATTTTTATCCATCTGATGAGTTAAGCCTCTTTCATCTGATTTTTATAGTTCGTTCTTATGTTGTACTGTTACACCACTGTCCCAGGTTAGGGGGAGAGTTGGGATCCTGCTAACATGTTTAACCCCGCCACATTCTGTATGTGTGTGCCTGTCCCAAGTCAGGAGCCTGTAATTCAGTGGTTGTCGTTTGTTTATGTGTTACATATTTGTTTTTCATTCATTTTTTGTTCATAAATTAGGCCGTTAGTTTTCTTGTCTGAATTGTTTTACATTGTCACTTCGGTGCCTTATATAGCTGACTGTGCGGTATTGGCTTTGCTCATTGTTGAAGGCCGTACGGTGACCTATAGTTGTTAATTTCTGTGTCATTTGGTCTCTTGTGGAGAGTTGTCTCATTGGCAATCATACCACATCTTCTTTTTCATATAGGTTAAAATATTAAAGAATATTTACTTTAAAAAAAAATCAGAACAAAAAAAAGGGGGTTCATGACCAAATCGCATGTGATCGACTATGAACTAATTAAGGTATACCGTATTTTTATGAAAGATGCACGAGATTTGCATTTGAAATCTTTAAAGTATGAAACCGTGACACTTCGATTTAAACTCACTTAAAAATAAATAATGATTGTTACCGATTGTCTTTTATTACTGTGCACTGTTACTGATGTTTTCAAATAAATTAATCAATTATTATATAAAACGTTTTTACATTTTTTGTGTATTTTTTTTTTCATAAAGTTTGAATGTACCATTATTAGATAAATATTATTTCTTTCCTTTATGATAATGCTAATAATATTTATAATTTTTGTCCCCTGCGTAACGCGTTGCGTGGGACATTGAAATACCTGGCGTCCGTCCGCCCGGTCTTGTTAGCGCTCGCGTGCAGGTACAATTCTTGCCAGATTTTTATAAAACTTATACTATATGTTAATATCAACAATATCTCGGACAATTTCTATAATGGTGGCCGATCACCTTTTTTAAAAGAGTTATAACCTTGGAAGTATTAAATTTATGGAAAATGGCCTCGTTAGCTCACGGGTACAATTCTCGTCGGATTTTTATAAAACTTATATTATAGGTTAATATCAGCAATATCACAGACAAATTCTATATTGGTGGACGATCGACTTTTTTTTAAAAGAGTTATGTCCCTTGGAAAAATCAAATTTATGGAAAATGGCCTCGTTATCGCTCTCAAAGGTACAATGCTTGCCAGATTTTTATAAAACTTATACTATAGGTATATATCAACAATATCTCGGACAATTTCTATAATGGTGGCCGATCACCTTTTTTAAAAGAGTTATGCCCTTGGAAGTATTAAATTTATGGAAAATGGCCTCGTTAGCGCTCTCACGGGTACAATTCTCGTCGGATTTTTATAAAACTTATACTATAGGTTAATATCAGCAATATCTCGGACAAGTTTCATAATGGTGACGATGGACTTTTTTTTTAAAGAGTTATGCCTCTTGGAAATATAAAATACGTGCTACGCGGGGGACATTGGAACTCTGTTTTTTTATTA